CATACACTCGCTCTGCCATCGACTGTCGAAACACAATGTCGACTTCCATCAGATAAAAGCACAGTTCTCCATTGTCGATTACGCCAAATTCGATGCTTATAGTTGCCCATTGCAGTCGGTTGAGCGGTGAGGACAGGACTATGATATGGTCTGTGAAAACAGAGGTTTCTTCCGCGAAAACGTAGACGCACTGTATCGGCACTGATGGGTCTGTTGTGAGTCCGAATGGTCTGGCGTGCTGTTTCAGTGTCCCTGGGAATGCCCTGTGATGGTCTGTTGGTCTTGACGTTGTAATGTTACTGAAGGTCGTCCACTCCGTTTACGGTCTTGGATGCTGTCTGTTTACCACCTGATACCACTCCTGCAGTCGGTAGATTGTCCTAACATGAACATTAAAATTATTGCCAACCTTCCGTGCAGTCTGGACAACTTGCAATCGTCCAAAGACTTGGTTCCTCTGATCTCTCGTCGTAGCATGGTGAGTGTGTCAAAACCAAAAGGCTTTGAGTCGAGTTTGGGATTTGCTTTCATTGGTAGGGATGTCACGATCTGGTGTATTCATTGATGTACTGTTATATTTGCCTGGTGTACTGACCTTTGTACTGTTATATTGGCCTAGTGTATTGCCTGTTTACTGTTATATTTGCCTGGTGTATTGGCTGTTTACTGTTATATTTGCCTGGTGTATTGGCCGTTGTACTGTTATATTTGCCTGGTGTATTGACTGTTTACTGTTATATTTGCCTGATGTATTGGCCGTTGTACTGTTATATTGGCCGTTGTTATATTTGCCTGGTGTATTGCCTGTGTATTTGCCTGGTGTATTTACTGTTATATTTGCCTGGTGTATTGGCCGTTGTACTGTTATATTTGGCCTGGCCGTTGTGTTATATTGCCTGTTTACTGTTATATTTGCCTGGTGTATTGGCCGTTGTACTGTTATATTTGCCTAGTGTATTGCCTGTTTACTGTTATATGGTGTATTGCCTGGTTATATTTGCCTGGTGTATTGGCCGTTGTACTGTTATATTTGCCTAGTGTATTGGTGTTATATTGGCCTGTTATATTTTGCCGTTGTACTGTTATATTGGCCTAGTGTATTTGCTGTTTACTGTTATATTTGCCTGGTGTATTGGCTGTTTACTGTTATATTGGCCTATTGTATTGCCTGTTTACTGTTATATTTGCCTAGTGTATTGGCCGTTGTACTGTTATCTTTGCCTAGTGTATTGGCCGTTGTACTGTTATATGTGCCTGGTGTATTGACTGTTTACTGTTATATTGCCTGGTGTATTGACTGTTTACTGTTATATTTGCCTGGTGTATTGACTGTTTACTGTTATATTTGCCTGGTGTATTGACTGTTTACTGTTATATTTGCCTGGTGTATTGACTGTTTACTGTTATATTTGCCTGGTGTATTGGCTGTTTACTGTTATATTTGCCTGGTGTATTGACTGTTTACTGTTATATTTGCCTGGTGTATTGGCCGTTGTACTGTTATATTTGCCTGGTGTATTGGCCGTTTTACTGTTATATTTGCCTGGTGTATTGGCCGTTGTACCGTTATATTTGCCTGGTGTATTGGCCTGTGTATTGCCTGTTTACTGTTATATTTGCCTGGTGTATTGGCCGTTGTACTGTTATATTTGCCTGGTGTATTGGCCGTTTTACTGTTATATTTGCCTGGTGTATTGCCTGTTTACTGTTATATTTGCCTGTTGTATTGGCCGTTGTGTTATATTGCCTGGTGTATTACTGTTTACTGTTATATTTGCCTGGTGTATTTGACTTGTACTGTTATATTTGCCTGGTGTATTGGCCGTTGTACTGTTATATGTGCCTGGTGTATTGCCTGTTTACTGTTATATTATATTTTTGTTATATTTGCCTGGTGTATTGACTGTTTACTGTTATATTTGCCTGGTGTATTGACTGTTTACTGTTATATTTGCCTGGTGTATTGACTGTTTACTGTTATATTTGCCTGGTGTATTGACTGTTTACTGTTATATTTGCCTGGTGTATTGACTGTTTACTGTTATATTTGCCTGGTGTATTGGCCGTTGTACTGTTATATTGCCTGGTGTATTGACTGTTTACTGTTATATTTGCCTGGTGTATTGACTGTTATATTTGCCTGGTGTATTGGCTGTTGTACTGTTATATTTGCCTGGTGTATTGGCTGTTTACTGTTATATTTGCCTGGTGTATTGGCCCTGTTTACTGTTATATTTGCCTGGTGTATTGACTGTTTACTGTTATATTTGCCTGGTGTATTGACTGTTTACTGTTATATTTGCCTGGTGTATTGGTTGATGTACTATTATGTTTGCCTGATGTATTGGCCGTTGTACTGTTTTATTTGCCTGGTGTATTGCCTGTTGAACTATTTTATTTGCCTGGTGTATTGACTGTTGTACTATTTTATCTGCCAGGTGTATTGGTTGAACTGTTATATTTGCCTGCTGTATTGGCCGTTGTTCTGTTAACTGGTGTACTTGTTGGTGTACTGTTGTTCATTGGCATATCCCAGGTGTATGGATAGGTTATCCCAGGTGTATGGATAGGTTATCCCAGGTGTATGGATAGGTGTATCCCAGGTGTATGGATAGGTGTATCCCAGGTGTATTGATAGGTGTATCCCAGGTGTATGGATAGGTGTATCCCAGGTGTATGGATAGGTGTATCCCAGGTGTATGGATAGGTGTATCCTAGGTGTATGGATAGGTGCATCCTAGGTGGATGTAATTGACTCTTGTTTTGCAGGTGAATATATTTGTCTGTTGTTACTGGGTGGAGGTGTTTGTCAGGTGTTTCCCAAGTTGAGGTGTTATACTGCTGTGTCCCAGATAAGTGTGTTTGACTGACTGGGTCGAGGTGTTTGACAGATGTATCCCAGGTGGGTGTGTTTCCTTGTTTCCAGGTGGAGGTGTTTGACAGGTACGTCCAAGGTGGGTATGTTTGAATGTTGCTCTCTTAGAGGTAATATTTGACTAGTGCATTCTCATCATTATAGGATATTTATATAGCGCACATATCCACGCAACTATATAGTACATGTTCAAGGCCCTGGAGTGTTCCCTTCAGCAACAGATGTCTTTTTTCTTCTGGCATTCTTTAAACTAGCTCAACTCCCTCGGGAGTAGTCAACTCATGCAGCCTGTTAGGCGAGTTATCACGCAGCATCATCCTCACAAGGTACCCATTTGCAGCTGGGTGAACTTGGACACATAGTCAAAATATTTTGTCCCATGATACTGCACGTTACTATACCCGCAACTAGGTGTCTGCACCTATTCGTGTGTCCACCATATGGTTATCTACCATCGGATGAGTTGGTTCTCTAAGTGCACAGGGTTCTGTACAGCACACTAGGGGTAGTGACAACACCGAAAGAGCCTACAAATATGAGTAATGTTAAAGTAATGTTAGCTCCAGGGTTTTACACCCGGTCAGAAGTGGGGATCGATCTAGGCACCTTTCGCTTACTGGCGCGGCGCCTTAGACAGCTCGCCCACCTTGCATTCCAGGTGTGTATGAGCTCGAGTTACTGGTGTCTTCGAGTTGAGCTTATTTGTCACTATTTCAAGGTGATGTTTGTGACTAGTGTTTGTCTGTTGTATCCCAGAAGTGTGTTTGTTTGACAGGTACGTTGCAGGTGTGTAGTCTACTGCGTCTACAACTACTTCTACTACTACTATTACTATTCTTACCTGCAAGAAAAAGGCAAATTGCACATAACATGCGGTTACCTTTATCATAAAAGGTATGTGTATGAAGTGTATGAAGTCAAGATATGATAAGAGATAAAACATTTCATAAGAAATAGGCGTTGATCGTTTGATGAAAACTATCCGTGTTTATAGAAAAAAAACGCCGATGATAGAGTACCCCCACACAGAAACATGACAACTGTCAGTCGTGTCCACCAAGAGCTTGAGCGCCCTGGGTTAACTGTGAGTGTTAAAATCACATTGCCGTTGAGTGTTTGGATTCTACAAGTCCTCTTCAGTGAAGTGTGTATTGCTGCCTGTAGACGCCTAACAGTCCCGTCCTGGACAATGGGGCCATGTCCGGGTGACGACAAAGGCCAAATGGCCATGGATGCTTCTCACTCTGAGGACCCATGAAGATCCGGGTTAGAATTGATCTTCAGTAACCCATGCTTGTCGTAAGAGGCGACTAACAGGATCGGGGGGTCAGGCTCGCTGACTTGGTTGACACATGTCATCGGTTCCCAATCCGCAGATTGATCCTCATGCTGTTGATCACTGGATTGTCTGGTCCAGACTTGATTATTTACAGACCGCCGCCATATAGCTGGAATATTGCTGTGCGGCGTAAATCTATACTCACTCTGAGGAAGTCCTCAGGGAGCCGTGCTGTTGAGAGTTGCTCTGCTGATAATCCTGGAATGCGGTTGACCAAGGAAGCGGGATCTGGCGTGATTACTGAAACATTACCATTGTTGACAACAGACCCACGCTGCCGGAACCCGTGTGGAGCGGTGCTGACAGCAGAGGCCTACTGTGTGTGTGTGTGTTAGTTAGTTAGTTAGTTAGTTAGTTAGTTAGTTAGTTAGTTAGTTATGAGCGGTCAGTATATGGACCTGGTGTAAGGTCGACGACATGATTCCAATCGGTTCTAGATGACACGGAGACTGAGAGGTTGAAGTTGTCTGAGCGGTTGTTGAAGTTGTCTGTGTTGCTCGTCGCTGTTGGTCAAGCAGAATGATGTGTCGCCCGGATGTAATTCCCTGCGCTTGAGTAGTGGTTTGTTTTTAATGGTAACATACTAATACAATGAAGAATATAGTGTGTTGCGATACTTTTTTTCTATGTGTAAATTCAGTTAGTATTAGCTGAGGACACTGTCGGAAATCAGTTTCCTGACCGTGCAATATTGAATACAAATACAAGGTAAAAAAACCCAGGAAATGGCCCCTTTCTTCAAGATCGCGCGAACAGCGTAATTTCGGAAACAAAACAACACCATCATTGCAATCTAACATCTCTTATTGTGAGACGATGTGTAGAAAGGTAAGTAAGTACATTGTCGTAGGGAGAAGCTTCTATGCTTGATAGACGGCGAGGGCGTTGATCCTGGAGAAGTTGGGGGGTCCGGCCATGGAGTTGCCGGTGCCGTCTTTGTTGATCTTCATCACTCCGCTGGGAAAAAAGGGTAAGGATTCAGAACACACTACCGTGTGCATCTCATAGCGCCTGTTTCCACTTTTCGAAAATATATGGTGTACTTAGACCTATATGATCGTGAAACGAAGCGTGTCCATGGTAACCAACAGAGTGTTACAGGTGAGTGAATCGTCACAGCGATTGCTGGATATCAGATAGAAACAATACAAGGATGCACTACATAGCTGAGACCTTACAGGTAGGCATCAAGTTGGTGGATGTGGTTCCGACTGACACAAACGTGTAAACTCAAACACTCTGATAACCACTGCACAAAACAGATCACCTTTTGTTCCAGTCAGAGTAGAAGATGTATTTGTCGGACAGAGCGAGGGCGAAGAAGTGAGCCGAGTTGTCTTGATAGATGACCTTCCGGTTTCCGCCATCAAGGTCAACAACCTCGATCTGATGGGTACCAGCGTCACAGAAGTATAAGCGACCAGCTGCAAGTTATGCAAATAATTACTGAATCAAGAACAGGTGTACGGCTCACTCCAACAGCGCCCCCTTTGGTCATGAAAGGTAACGTTAACGATTCTAAAGGCAATAAGCTCGTCGTCTAACTGAATATTCAGACTAATCCTCTGAATGCAGAACACCCTGAAATGTTATAATTGATCTACACTAGGACATGCTTGTAACAGGTTATTAACGGATTCGGGTGGTCAGGCCCCGTGACTAGCTTGGTGTCATCGCACCCCTGTGGTGTAGACTCCTGCTCACGATGCCAGGCGCCGCTGTTTGGTCCAGACTCATACAGCTCAACTGTTAGTGCTGCGTCAAACAACGATTAAAACAAAACCGATTACTAGGCTACCCCACTGCCCCTGTTGCTGAGAGGGGAATATGACCATCATCATCTTTATTGCTATAAGTACTGGTCTTGAATTATAACAGAAATTGGGGGCTCTTCCATGATCAATCTTTAATAAATATCAAAATTAACTGTCAAAACTGTTTGATTAAAATCATATTTTCTGGGACTGTGGTGGAACTGGCCGAATATTACAACCTTGACATCAATTTTGGAATGCTCATTTAAGGCTGATTTCGGCTGGGGAATCACGTTACAACGCACAAACAAACACACATATTCACTTAATACACACATCTACACTTCTCCAGTGTTACCACAAACAGACAAATACACAACTTCAGTACCACACAGGGACATATATACAATTTGCCCTGGATACCACACAGGGTACATATACAACTTACCGAGGCTACCACACAGGGTACATATACAATTTGCCATGGTTACCACACAGGGTACATATACAACTTACCCTGGTTACCACACAGGGTACATATACAACTTGCCCTGGCTACCACACAGGGTACATATACAACTTGCCCTGGCTACCACACAGGGTACATATACAACTTACCCTGGCTACCACACAGAGGCATATACAATTTGCCCTGGCTACCACACAGGGTACATATACAACTTGCCCTGGCTACCACACAGGGTACATATACAACTTACCCTGGCTACCACACAGGGTACATATACAACTAACCCTGGCTACCACACAGGGTACATATACAACTTGCCCTGGATACCACACAGGGTACATATACAACTAACCCTGGATACCACACAGGGTACATATACAACTAACCCTGGCTACCACACAGGGTACATATACAACTTGCCCTGGATACCACACAGGGTACATAAACAACTTGCCCTGGATACCACACAGAGTACATATACAACTAACCCTGGATACCACACAGGGTACATATACAACTAACCCTGGATACCACACAGGGTACATATACAACTAACCCTGGATACCACACAGGGTACATGTACAACTTGCCCTGGATACCACACAGGGTACATATACAACTAACCCTGGATACCACACAGGGTACATGTACAACTTGCCCTGGATACCACACCGGGTACATATACAACTAACCCTGGCTACCACACAGAGTACATATACAACTTGCCCTGGCTACCACACAGGGTACATAAACAACTTAGCCTGGCTACCACACAGGGGCATATACAATTTGCCCTGGCTACCACACAGGGTACTTATACAATTTGCCCTGGCTACCACACAGGGTACATATACAACTTGCCCTGGATACCACACAGGGTACATATACAGCTAACCCCGGATACCACACAGGGTACATATACAACTAACCCCGGATACCACACAGGGTACATATACAGCTAACCCTGGCTACCACACAGGGTACATATACAACTAACCCTGGATACCACACAGGGTAGATATACAACTTGCCCTGGATACCACACAGGGTACATATACAACTAACCCTGGATACCACACAGGGTACATATACAACTTGCCCTGGCTACCACACAGGGTATATATACAACTTGCCCTGGCTGCCACACAGGGTATATATACAACTTACCCTGGCTACCACACAGGGTACATATACAATTTGCCCTGGATACCACACAGGGTACATATACAACTTACCGGGGCTACCACACAGGGTACATATACAATTTGCCCTGGATACCACACAGGGTACATATACAACTTACCCTGGCTACCACACAGGGTACATATACAATTTGCCCTGGATACCACACAGGGTACATATACAACTTGCCCTGGATACCACACAGGGTACATATACAGCTAACCCCGGATACCACACAGGGTACATATACAACTAACCCCGGATACCACACAGGGTACATATACAGCTAACCCTGGCTACCACACAGGGTACATATACAACTAACCCTGGATACCACACAGGGTAGATATACAACTTGCCCTGGATACCACACAGGGTACATATACAACTAACCCTGGATACCACACAGGGTACATATACAACTAACCCTGGATACCACACAGGGTACATATACAACTTGCCCTGGCTACCACACAGGGTATATATACAACTTGCCCTGGCTACCACACAGGGTATATATACAACTTACCCTGGCTACCACACAGGGTACATATACAATTTGCCCTGGATACCACACAGGGTACATATACAACTTACCGAGGCTACCACACAGGGTACATATACAATTTGCCCTGGATACCACACAGGGTACATATACAACTTACCGAGGCTACCACACAGGGTACTTATACAATTTGCCCTGGATACCACACAGAGTACTTATGCAATTTGCCCTGGATACCACACAGGGTACTTATACAATTTGCCCTGGATACCACACAGGGTATGTATACAACTTACCGAGGTTACCACACAGGGTACATATACAATTTGCCCTGTCTTCCACACAAACACATCTACAGTTCCACTGCACTTCCAATAAATCCAAAAAAGTCATGGGACCCAAGCCACCTAACATAAATGGACATCCGTGCTACCACACATAGATATCCACATTCAACCCACACATACCTTTCATGTCTATAGCTAGGCCGTTGGGCAGTTGGATGCCGGTTGACACGATGGTCTTCCTGTTTGCCCCAGAGTAGTCAGCACTCTCAATTTTAGGCGTACTGCCCCAGTCCGTCCAGAACGCCACCCTGGAACATGAGGGTTCACAGTTTACCTGGTCTGTGCATCACGGAAAACGCTACCTACACCACCCTGGAAGATGAGGGTTCACAGTTTACCTGGTCTGTGATTAACGGTATCGCCACCTACACCACCCTGGAACATGACAGTTCTCTCCCTCCTCCCTCCCTCCCCGGTCCACCCACCCACCGACCCACCCACCCACTGTTTGTATGGTAGTTTCATTAATACATCAAGCACATTTGTATGACACTGACTGGTTTTGTGTGTCCACGACGATTGCCCTTGGTTGGTCAAGTTGGTCTTGAGCTATAATTGTCTGCCCAGTTCCGTCGAGGGCCGTCCAGGCAATGATATCACTTCCGGCGTCAGTGTAAAATAGTTTTGCTGATGTCGAATCCACAGCTAAGCCATCTGGGATGCTTCCTGCAACAGGTAACATAGTGCAAAAATGTCAAAAATGTCCAACCACTTCTTTCATCTTATAAAGCGGAGGTACTCGTAGAAAGGAGAAGGACATGTGCCCCCCGGGAAATACCATCATCGTCAGTTGCCACATGGACATGTGCCCCCCGGGTAATACCATAACCATCAGTTGCAACGAGGACATGTGCCCCCCGGGTAATACCATCACCTTCAGTTGCCACCAGGACATGTGCCCCGCGGGTAATACCATCACCATCAGTTGCAGCCACCACATGTGCCTCCCCGGATAATACCATCACCATCAGTTGGTTGCAACCACGACATGTGACCCCGGGTAATACCATCACAGTCACTTGCAACCGCAACATGTGCCCAACCCTTCGTAATACCATCTCCGCCAGTTGCCACCACGTCATGTGCCCCCGGGTAATACCATCACCGCCAGTTGCCACCACGACATGTGCCCCCGGGTAATACCATCACTGCCAGTTGCACCCACGTCATGTGCACCCCCCACCCCCACCCCCCCGGGTAATATAATAACTGTCAGTTGCCACCAGGACATGTGTCCCCGGGTAATACCATCACCTTCAGTTGCAACCACGACATGTGACCCCGGGTAATACCATCACAGTCACTTGCAACCGCAACATGTGCCCAACCCTTCGTAATACCATCTCCGCCAGTTGCCACCACGTCATGTGTGCCCCGGGTAATACCATCACCGCCAGTTGCACCCACGTCATGTGCACCCCCCACCCCCCCCCCCCATCACCGCCAGTTGCCACCACGACATGTGCCCCGGGTAATACCATCACCAGTTGCCACCAGGACATGTGTCCCCGGGTAATACCATCACTGTCAGTTGCCACAACGGCATGTGCCCCCGGTAATACCATAACAGTCAGTTGCCACCTGGACATGTGCCCCCACGTAATACCATCACCATCACTTGGTTGCAACCAGGACATGTGCCCCTGGGTAATACCATCACTATCAGTTGCAACCGGAACATGTGCCCCCGGGTAATACCATCACCGCCAGTTGCCACCTGGACATGTGCCCCTGGGTGATACCATCACCGTCAGTTGCCAGCAGGAAATGTGCCCACTGGGTAATACCATCACCATCATTTGCCACCATGACATGTGCCCCCCGGGTAATACCATCACCATCAGTTGCCACTCAGGTAATACCAGAACCGTCTTGTGCAATGAGAACATGTGCCACCTGGGTAATGCCATCACCGTCAGTTACCACCAGGACATGTGCCATCACACAATTCTTACCTTGGACAATTACCACAAACCTTTTCAACTCTTAAAACATGTCACAGATATTGTTAAAGGTAGTGTGGTTCACTTCGGGGAAGGTGTTTGATTCAGGCTCGCCTTGACAGACTATTAGTTCGTTTTATGGCCATATGTTTGACTGGCTTAGTGCAGCTGTCTCACATTGGGGTAGATGTTTGATGCGCCATGGGGCAGCTGTTTGACTCACCTTTGAGGAACCTGTTTTACTCTCCCGTGGGTTGCTATGGGACTCACCATTGGGCCTTTGTTTGACTCACCATTACTGAGTTGTTTGATGACCTTTAAGCCGGTGTCATCGATGCCAACGCTCCTTATTTGACTGCCTGGGTTTGGCACAACCTCCGAGTAGAAGACTTGTTTCGTGACTTCATCGTAAGCGAGGCCGACGGGGTTGGGGCTTCCTTGCTGGGGTATTACGCTGAAGCTGTAGGTGTTTAAGTCCATCCTGAGCAGCTCACCGCTGTTTACGTCCGTGAAAATGAGGAAGTTGTCCGGAATTGTTGCTGTTGGTAAACACGGTAATTCCAGAACACTTTAATCGACAGCTTTAACAGGAAGTCAGGACATGTCTCAGTGAAGCCCCGCCCACGTAACGTCTCAACAACGAACCCCACTGAACGTGTCTACAAGAACATTTAAACGTTTAATGGAAAACCGATCCATTCGGCGTGTTTGTTAGAAACCCCGTACGCTCAAAGTGTTTAGGGATAGTTCACCCATTCAAAGAGTTTACATGATGCTAGGATGCCATATTGCCACGATTGTTTAATTTTATGGTGACACGATGTATCACGATCTGGTCTCCCGTTCAGATACGATCACATGCGTTCCGATAGGATTGTCCCGATGGAGTCCATGATTAGGTCGCGATCTGACACGATCATCATGATCATCACGATCGGGGTCACCGATTTGGGACGATCTGGTACGTGCTGGTATGTACCGATACGTTCATCACGAACCGATGCGCTTTGTTGCGACAGGATACGATTGTGGTCGCGATGTATTTTACGATCACGATCGAGGATGATCACGACTTGAGCTACGATTGGACCCCGACGGGTATTTATACAGCCCGACTGACCATGGACTTCATTGTTTCTTGAATACTACAGAGTGAACACTACAACCCACAACCATTGATGATGGCAGGAGTTGAGGATGATGACAACGTGACATTTGCAGAGTTACTGTATGCTGACATCGCCAGAGAGGAAGAAGACGAGCACCAGCCAGACCAGCAACAGCTTCAACCACAAAGGGTAGGAGAGTTTCAGTCTGGCACTTCTGGGTGCGACAATAGCTCACAGAGGAGAGGAGACAACAGTCTGGTCAGTTGTCCAGCCTCCTACACACTCATTTGAGGCTGGAAGATCCAGTAGTGTTCCAAAACTACACAAGGTTAACACCACAGCTCTTCGATGGCAAACACACCATCAAGAAATGACCCCAAGCTGGCAGCCAGTACTTCAATTACAAGGGCTTCTTTTCGATACCACTCCTAGCTCTGGTGGATGCAGATAACAAAATTGTGTGGATCGAGCTTGGTGTAAAAGGACACATGTCAGACTCGGAGCTGTTGAACGGCCTGGGGCAGGAAGGCCTAGGACTCCACCCCACCCTGCCCTCTGACTGCAAACCCTGATGACCGCCACACATGCCCTTTTTCATCCTGAGGGATGACTCCTTCGCACTCAGGAACTACCTCATGAAGCCATACAGCAGAAGAAGGATGTCCAGAAGGAGAGGATTTTCAACTGCAGACTCTCCAGAGAAGGAGAGTGGTGGAAAATGGCTTTGGGATCCTGGCCAATAGATTCAGGTGTCTCCTCAGGACTCAAGAGCAGAAGCCAAACACTGTCAAGGATGTAGTGGATACGGCAGTAACTCGTAATAGATCGCGAGCGTCCGTGAAAAAGCGTCAATACTTGCATTTACTCGTATCACCTCGTATCTGCTCGTGAGTCATTCGTGTCAAGTCGTGAGCAATGGCACCCGACAGAGCGTCACAGATCGCAAAACATCTCAACAGAGCGTGGTGTTTGTCATGTCCACGATTGATTCCGATCACCACGATTTGGAAGCACGATTAGATGCGATATGTTGCGCATTTGTTACGATGCAATACGATCTGGTGCGATGAGCACGACTGACAATTAATCGTGTTGATCGCAGAAAATCTTTGAACCGTCCAACATTTTTCTACGATCAACACGAGTGCCACGACTGACCTCACGAATCGTGATAGTGTGAAAATAGCATAACATCCAAACTCGTCAAGGTGGTGTTGCGACACCTGGCCACTCAACGTGTTTACAGGAAGCCGTACCTACTCAACGTGTTTACAGGAAGCCCTACCTACTCAACGTGTTTACAAAAAGCTCTACCTATTTAACGTGTTTACAAGATGCCCTACCTACTCAACGTGTTTACAGGAAGCCCTACCTACTCACCATGCTTACAGAAAGCCCTACCTACTTATCGTGTCAACAGGAAGCTCTACACACTCAGCGTGTTTACAGGAAGCCCTACCTACTCACCATGCTTACAGAAAGCCCTTCCTACTTATCGTGTTTACAGGAAGCTCTACACACTCAGCGTGTTTACAGGAAGCCCTACTTACTTATCGTGGTTACAGAAAGCCCTACCTACTCAGCGTGTTTACAGGAAGCCCTACCTACTTATCGTGTTTACAGGAATCTCTACCTACTCATCGTGTTAACAGGAAGCTCTACACACTCAGCGTGTTTACAGGAAGCCCTACCTACTTATCGTGTTTACAGGAAGCTCTACACACTCAGCATGTCTACAGGAAGCCCTACTTACTTATCGTGGTTACAGGAAGCCCTACCTACTCAACCTGTTTACAGGAAGCAACCTTACACACACTCAACGTGTTTACAGGAAGCACTACCCCTACCTACTCATCGTGTTTACAGGAATCACTACCTACTCAACGTGTTTTCACTACAGGAATCCCTACCTACTCAACGTGTTTACAGGAAGCACTACCTACTCAACGTGTTTACAGGAAGCCCTACCTACTCAACGTGTTTACAGGAATCACTACCTACTCAACCTGTTTACAGGAAGCCCTACCTACTCAACGTGTTTACAGGAATCACTACCTACTCAACCTGTTTACAGGAAGCCCTACCTACTCAACCTGTTTACAGGAATCACTACCTACTCAACCTGTTTACAGGAATCACTACCTACTCAACGTGTTTACAGGCATCACTACCTACTCAACGTGTTTACAGGCATCACTACCTACTCAACGTGTTTACAGGAAGCCCTACCTACTCAGCGTGTTTACAGGAAGCCCTACCTACTCAACGTGTTGACAGGAATCACTACCTACTCAACCTGTTTACAGAAAGCCCTACCTACTCAGCGTGTTTACAGGAATCACTACCTACTCAACCTGTTTACAGGCATCACTACCTACTCAACGTGTTTACAGGAAGCCCTACCTACTCAGGGTGTTTACAGGAAGCCCTACCTACTCAACCTGTTTACATGAAGCCCTACCTACTCAACGTGTTGACAGGAATCACTACCTACTCAACCTGTTTACAGGAAGCCCTACCTACTCAACGTGTTGACAGGAATCACTACCTACTCAACCTGTTTACAGGAAGCCCTACCTACTCAGCGTGTTTACAGGAATCACTACCTACTCAACCTGTTTACAGGAATCACTACCTACTCAACCTGTTTACAGGAATCACTACCTACTCAACCTGTTTACAGGAAGCCCTACCTACTCAACGTGTTTACAGGAAACACCACCCACTGATTGAACTGAACGTCACTAATTCTCAACATGTGAACAGGAAACCTCGGGAACACAACTTGTCTGCTGTATGCGTCACCTTATCAATATGTGTCCAGGGAACCATTACGCCCAACCAACTCACGGAGTTCACAGGTGATCCCAGCATCCTCTTGATGGCTGCAGTCGTGCACGGCCCAGTTCTCCTCGGTGAAGCCGCACTGTACGATGTGAGTCTCGGTTCCCGTGCAGTTCACCTCGTCCATGTAGATGAGGCCAGAGCCCGAGGACACTTGCACATTTGACGTGGCCAGAGCGTTCTCTCTGTGGGGAGGTCAAGAAATGGGATGGGATCCGAGAGCGTACATGTAATTCACGTTCACATTGGTCGATCTACAGTTACATGGCGTTATTGTTGGGTACAGGGAATGTTTAAACGAGCACAGCTGTCGAAAAGTATGATGACATATGAGGGCAATTGTTTTGAAACATGCGTGCATACATGGAAACCTGGTGACAATTGCCCTGTGGGCGGGTGTACACACGTTTGGAAATATGTTTCTGCATGCAGAGTACACAAAGTGTTTAGGAAACGTGTGACGTACATGTATATGTAGGTAGATGTACCTACGATGATATACGACCTCCTGTGTTCCTGAGCGCATCTTGACGAGAACAATGTTACATCTGTATGTATATATGAGAACAATGTTACATCTGTATGTATATATGAGTACAATGTTACATCTGTATGTATATATGAGTACAATGTGGCATCTGTTTGTATATATGAGTACAATGTGTCATCTGTATGTTTATATGAGTACAATGTGGCATCTGTATGTATATATGAGTACAATGTGTCATCTGTATGGTACACAGTGACATCTATGGACTAGGGACTATCTCTGTACCCACCTGTTGTACCCCAGCATGGAGCAGACCACACTGGCGTCTTTGTTGTCCCAGTGGTCATCGCAGATTGTTCCCCACTCGCCATTAGCATACACGTCCACTCGACCTGCTGACGCCGTCCCGAGCATGCGCACAAACACATGTGCAGGGTCTAAGTTCATAGTTGACGATGGGGTTGGCTCTACAAGAAGACAACGCGTGGATGTAAGAACCGATAACTTTAAAGAAATACACGGCCTGGGTATTAGAATGGTAAAGCAGTCGGTGTATAAATATGAAAAAGTTGGCTTCATAACGCCTTGTTGTAACTGTATACAGTTGACGTCATGCCATGAAGACCTCTAACGGTTATATGTTTGACAACGGACGGACAGGGTACAAGCCAACTTGATACAAGGGTTTACCAAACGTTGATATAACAATTGACATATCAGTGAATGATGACTACAGGCGTGAGAATTTTAAAAGTTTAACAGTTCACTATTTACCTCCTTTACGTAACATCTTTACAGTCTACTACTGCTGACCTGATAGAACAGGCAAACTATCGACACTGATATATAGATTTCACACTTGGCCACAGACTGATGTGATAGAACAGGCATACTTTTGACATATTTCTCGGCTAACTAACTGTTTCAACTTAGGAATCGACACGTATCACACTTCAGAACACCTTGCCTTGGACATCCGCCTTATAGATGCAACATCCGCCTTATAGAAGCAACATCCTCCTTATAGAAGCAACATCCTCCTTACAGATGCAACATCCGCCTTATAGGAGCAACATCCTCCTTATAGATGCAACATCCGGCTTATAGATGCAACATTCTCATTATAGAAGCAACATCCTTCTTATAGAAGCAACATCCGCCTTATAGATGCGACATCCGCCTTATAGAAGCAACATCCGCCTTATAGAAGCAACATCCGCCTTATAGATGCAACATCCTCCTTATAGGAGCAACATCCTCCTTATATATGCAACATCCGCCTTATAGGAGCAACATCCTCCTTATAGAAGCAATATCCGCCTTATAGGAGCAACATCCTCCTTATAGATGCAACATCCGGTTTATAGATGCAACATTCTCATTATAGAAGCAACATCCGCCTTATAGAAGCAACATCCTTCTTATAGAAGCAACATCCGCCTTATAGATGCAACATCCTCTTAATAAAAGGAACATCCGCCTTATAGAAGCAACATCCGCCTTATAGATGCAACACCCTCCTTATAGATGCAACATGCGCCTTATAGATGCAACATCCGCTTTATAGATGCAACATCCGCCTTAAAGGAGCAACATCCTCCTCATAGATGCAACATTCTCCTTATAGAAGCAACATCCGACTTATAGATGCAACATCCGCCTTATAGAAGCAACATCCGCCTTATAGAAGCAACATTCTTGTATAGATGCAACATCCTTATAGAAGCAACATCCGCCTTATAGGAGCAACATCCGCCTTATAGATGCAACATCCTCCTTATAGAAGCAACATCCGCCTTATAGAAGCAACATCCGCTGTATAGATGCAACATCTGCCTTATAGGAGCAACATCCGCCTTATAGATGCAACATCCTCCTTATAGAAGCAACATCCGCCTTATAGAAGCAATATCCGCCTTATATAGAAGCAACATCCGCCTTATAGTTGCAACATTCGCCTTATGGAAGCAACATCCTCCTTATAGAAGCAACATCCGCCTTATAGCAGCAACATCCGCCTTATAGATGCAACATCCTCCTTATAGAAGCAACATCCGCCTTATAGAAGCAACATCCGCCTTATAGATGCAACATCCTCCTTATAGAAGCAACATCCGCCTTATAGAAGCAACATTCGCCTTATAGATGCAACATCCGCCTTATAGAGCAACATCCGCCTTATAGATGCAACATCCTCCTTATAGAAGCAACATCCGCCTTATAGAAGCAACATCCGCCTTATAGAAGCAACATCCGCCTTATAGAAGCAACATCCGCCTTATAGATGCAACATCCGCCTAATAGGCAACAGCCTTAACATCCTCCTTATAGATGCAACATCCTCCTTATAGAAGCAACATCATCCGCCTTATAGAAGCAACATCCGCCCTCTTAATAGAAGCAACATCCCGCCTTATAGAAGCAACATCCGCCTTATAGAAGCAACATCCGCCTTATAGAAGCAACATCCGCCTTATAGAAGCAACATCCGCCTTATAGAAGCAACATCCGCCATGCAACATCCTCTTAGATGCAACAAAGGAACATCCGCCTTATAGATCAAGAAGCAACATCCGCCTTATAGATGCAACACACCCCTTATAGAAGCATGCGCCTTATAGATGCAACATCCGCTTTATAGATGCAACATCCGCCTTAAAGGAGCAACATCCGCCTCTTAGATGCAACATCCTCCTTATAGAAGCAACATCCGACTTATAGATGCAACATCCGCCTTATAGATGCAACATCCTCCTTATAGAAGCAACATCCTCCTTATAGAAGCAACATCCTCCTTATAGAAGCAACATCCGCCTTATAGAAGCAACATCCGCCTTATAGAAGCAACATCCGCCTTATAGAAGCAACATCCGCCTTATAGAAGCAACATCCTCCTTATAGAAGCAACATCCGCCTTATAGATGCAACATCCTCCTTATAGAAGCAACATCCGCCTTATAGCAACATCCGCCTTTATAGAAGCAACATCCGCCTTATAGATGCAACATCCGCCTTAATAGAAGCAACATCCGCCTTATAGAAGCAACATCCGCCTTATAGATGCAACACCCTCCTTATAGATGCGACATGCGCCTTATAGATGCAACATCCTCTTAATAGAAGGAACATCCGCCTTATAGAAGCAACATCCGCCTTATAGATGCAACACCCTCCTTATAGATGCGACATGCGCCTTATAGATGCAACATCCTCTTAATAGAAGGAACATCCGCCTTATAGAAGCAACATCCGCCTTATAGAAGCAACATCCGCCTTATAGATGCAACATCCTCCTTATAGAAGCAACATCCGCCTTATAGAAGCAACATCCGCCTTATAGATGTAACATCCTCCTTATAGAAGCAACATTCGCTGTATTTATGCAACATCCGCTTTATAGGAGCAACATCCGCCTTAAAGATGCAACATCCTCCTTATAGAAGCAACATCCGCCTTATAGAAGCAACATCCGCCTTATATAGAAGCAACATCCGCCTTATAGTTGCAACATCCTCCTTATGGAAGCAGCATGCGCCTTATGGAAGCAAAATCCACCTTATAGATGCAACATCCTCCTTATAGAAGCAACATCCTCCTTATAGAAGCAACGTCCTCCTTATAGAAGCAACATCCGCCTTATAGAAGCAACATCCGCCTTATAGAAGCAACATCCTCCTTATAGAAGCAACATGCGCCTTATAGATGCAACAGCCTCCTTATAGATGCAACATCCGCCTTATAGAAGCAACATCCTCCTTATAGAAGCAACATCCGCCTTATAGAAGCAACATCCTCCTTATAGAAGCAACATCCGCCTTATAGAAGCAACATCCGCCTTATAGAAGCAACATCCGCCTAGGGACGGACACTGCGGGACATGGTCCCTGTATTTAAACATCCGCCTTACATACGTGTGACTGAGGGACACTGGTCCTTAGACGTCTGAAAGATTGCTGACCATAGATGTCCAAATACGAGAGATCCTACGTTGGACAGCACAATAGACGTGACACTAAAGGCGAGCCTACCTTGGACATCAGATCCGTATTCGTGTATCCTGACGTCGGCGAGTTCCCTGAAGCCTGGTGGTCCCACAGCCGTCTTACCGCTACCATCCTTGTTGACCCGCATCAGCGTTCTGAAGGTGCATTGTAAACCATGTGACAAGTACATCTTCAATTAGAGATTCACTTGGGTGACACCAACAAGACTGACAGCTACATTTGAATAGGGCATCAGTACAGGGATCACATACACATGATGGACAGCAGTACATTATAAGTTGTTCACTGGTCACGAGGGGGGCATGGGTTGATGTACCCTCGATGTTTGTTTATGTTATTTAACATCGAGGGTACATCAGCCCATGGGCCCCGAGGGACTAGCAAACGACGTATTTTTCTTACCGAACACCTTAATATTAATTTTGAATTGTTTGAAGCACGGGTACACATCTTTTTGTAGCCATCGCTAGATTTTGCTGACAAGAAAAACAGATTTAGAGTTATCTCCCTTCCATCAATTTGCATTCGCAAAACATCGGTAATTTCCGTACATCATACGTGATTCAATGTTATTCGAGATAAAGAATTACTACCACGAAGTACCAAATGAGTTGCCATTGACAGCGTGGTACATTGAAATGTTACTCGCTTGTAAGGGGGTACATGGAAGATAATAGAAGAGAGCTCAGCCAATCAGAAAGCGACATTTATGTGTGAGGTAAGATAAGGATAGATGTATCCATAGAGGCGGGTTTCCGGACTGCATACAGATCTTCAGGCTTGTAAATGTTGAGCACTTGTTTAAAGATCTGTAAGGATGCCATGTACGGGATAGACAGCACTTCACGTACGGTTGGTTCCAGTCGGTGTAGTAGAGGTAGTTTTTGAAGACATCGATGGCAAAGAAGTGTGCGCCGGCGTCCTTCAAGATGGTGCGTCTGTTGGAGCCGTCCATATCCATCACCTCCAGCAGGTGCGTGCCCCCGTCGACGAAGTACAGCTTGTCGTCTGCCAAACACAGACATTGTGTAACTCTTAGACATTTGGTCTATATAAACTTAACTTTAACATGGAGTCTTTTGAACGCCATCTCATAGATGCTTTAGGCCAGGAATAAATTGGTCAATGTCATGTGATAGTTGACATTCTCTTCTAGGAATAGAATCATAAAGTCGTTCCCTATTTGAAATAGAATAGAACGGTATTGTCTTGTTTGGTCAATATTCAATTCTGCTGACATAAACTATATTTCGGGGGATTGGTGGGCATGAGGAAGTAGGGTGTGAGTACGGTGTGTGTGTGTGTGTAGTCTATTCCCACATTCTGTACTGACCATTGTAATCTATTGCCACATTCCGTACTGACCATTGTAGTCTATTGCCACATTCTGTACTGACCATTGTAGTCTATTGGCACATTCTGTACTGACCATTGTAGTCTATTGCCACATTCTGTACTGACCATTGAAGTCTATTGCCACACTCTGTACTGACCATTGTAGTTTTTCCCACATTCTGTACTGACCATTGTAATCCATTGCTACCCTCTATTACTGACCATTGTAGTCTATTGCCATGCCGTTAGGCCACATGATTCCGGTGGTCACCAGGGCTTTCCTGTTCGTGCCGTCATAGTTGGAGCTCTCTATCTTTGGAGATTTTCCCCAGTCTGTCCAGAAGATCTGTCTGCAAGAGGACAAATCATTAGGCCATTACTAAATCAGTTCGTCTGGCCAATGTGAGATCACCTTGTGTGGCTATTTCAAGAATATCTCTTAAAACCAAGTCTGAAGGTTATTTCATGGTCATCTCGTTAGGCCGACTCTGAAGATTATTTCTCGCTCAGCTTGTTCAGCCATATTTGGATCAACCCAATTGGAATTGCTCGTGGGTCCTGATTAAAGTGTCGGAATTCGGATTCACCATTAGTAGTCATAATGTTTTGTATAATAGCTTATAGGCTGTGTATAATAACACAATGTTCTGTGGCGTGACCGATAGGCTCTTGATGTGTCGCGATTGATAGGCTCTGTCATTCTCTTCCCACAGAGGTTACTTGTCATTTCTTCCTACGAACCTCTGTTCTAATACGGTCATATTTCCCGGTTCTCGTAAAATCCCCTAGCGGCAAAAAAATCGCAACACGAATTATCTCCCTTCTTTCTGTCCAATCAGAACACGTATTACATCAACTTGACTAATACAAGCAAATGTTGGGTCACAAATATCCCACCTCTGCCAGGAACGTGTGTTGATGTGACACACAAGACATTTAATGGCTAGCTTGTCCGTTGTCAACGAGGGCGATGGAGACGCCATTGATCCGCCATTTACATGACTGAGTTTTGTCTATAAGAAACGTTTGCGCATCGCGCAGGGAAAGAGGTTCTAGTTTTCCCGAAGCATACGGAAATAACCGAGGCCTTGCGAATGATCACTTTTGAAACAACGTCGCTGATTGCACAACTAAATCTGATTGCAACCAATCACGAATCCTGAACACTCGCACCATGAAAAGGCCGTATTAGAACAGAGGTTCGTAGGAATATATGACAAGTAACCTCTGTGGGAAGAGAATGAGGCTCTGTATGATACCACACATTGCTGTGTCGAGACAGATGGAATCTGTATAACACAAGGTGCTGTGTCGCCATAGATAGGGTCGCCATAACACAAGATAGGCGATAAATCTGGTATAATAACACAAGACAGTTGCTGTGTCACGATTGATAGGCTCGGTATAATAACACAAGTCGCTGTGTCGCGATAGATAGGCTCGGTATAATAACACAAGTCGCTGTGTCGCGATTGATAGGCTCTGTATATAACACAAGATGCTGTGTCGCGATTGATAGGCTCCGTATATAATACGAGGTGCTGTGTCGCTATAGATAGGCTCGGTATAATAACACAAGTTGCTGTGTCGCGACAGATAGGCTCGGTATAATAACACAAGTCGCTGTTGCATATCGACCAGAGTGTAGGATCACATATACGTACTTTGAGCGAGGATCTACAGCGATCTCTCGGGGCGAATCAAGATTAGAGTTGATAACAATCTTGAAGTTGCTTCCGTCGAGGTTGATCGATCCGATGACGTCATTGCCGGTGTCAGTGTAGAAGAGGATGCGGTTGACTGGGTCCACCTCAAGTTTCTCCAGATCGGCATCTATACAGGGAAAAGTCGAGTTATACAAGTAACACTCGTGTCTCGCTCACACTGGGAAGTCGAGTTATACAAGTAAGATGCTGACCACCTGGTGTCTGCCCACCCCCACAACTCTCCCTCCACTTACTAGCGTTCAACTGCTTCAGTTCCCTGATGTCTGTCCCGTCAAAGTGGATGCTGACCACCTGGTATCTGTTCACCCCCACCCCTCTCCCTCAACTTACTAGCGTTCAACTGCTTCAGTTCCCTGAGGTCTGTCTGTCCCGTCAAAGTGGATGCTGACCATCTGGTATCTGCCCACCCCCACAACTCTCCCTCCACTTACTAGCGTTCAACTGCTTCAGTTCCCTGAGGTCTGTCTGTCCCGTCAAAGTGGATGCTGACCACCTGGTATCTGCCCACCCCCACAACTCTCCCTCCACGTACTATCGTTCAACTGCTTCAGTTCCCTGATGTCCGTCCCGTCAAAGTGGATGCTGACCACCTGGTTTCTGTTCACCCCCACCCCTCTCCCTCCACTTACTAGCGTTCAACTGCTTCAGTTCCCTGATGTCTGTCTGTCCCGTCAAGTGGATGCTGACCATCTGGTATCTGCCCACCCCCACAACTCTCCCTCCACTTACTAGCGTTCAACTGCTTCAGTTCCCTGGTGTCTGTCTGTCCCGTCAAAGTGGATGCTGACCATCTGGTATCTGCCCACCCCCACCCCTCTCCCTCCACTTACTAGCGTTCAGCTGCTTCAGTTCCCTGATGTCTGTCCCGTCAAAGTGCATGCTGACCAGCTGGTCCAGTCGCGGCTCCACGAAGTAGATCCTTCCATCCACCGAGTCGTAGTCGAAGGAGCCCACGGCGTACTGTTTGTTGATTGGGATGTCAACGAAGCTGCCGGATAGGAGGTTCATGCGGGTCAGTTTTCCTCCTCGGCCGGTGTCCGCCAGAAATATGATGTCATCCTCCTTTGAAACTAGTAACAGTTGTGGTTATGTTACTCCCAGCTGCTCAAATGTGTCAATAACGCATTTATGTAAGCATATCTAAACTCTGTAAATCTTAACAACTCTCAAAATCTAGCGGATGTAGATGGAACTCGCGAGTGTAGCAATTAGCACACTGCAACTCTTACACGACGTCACATCACACTGACATGCCGAACACTGGAATATCTCCTTGTGTGGGATATTGTAACACTTGCTGTGCAGACATAAAGATAGCCTCGGATAATTCTTGAGTGTAAAAAGGAAAACATGTCCACTTTTTATAAATCTGGCTGCTATCGTAGATTTGTAATTGTCTACCCTTCCCTCTCCGTATACATACTGATCGGAACATCTATGTGAATGCTATGCTTGTATCATACACGACTATTTCATCTCTATTTTTCAATATACCGATCTTACTATTACTACTAAACAAGTGAACGTCTTCTGTTGTCCACAGCTCTACAGGCCCACGTTCATCGCAGTGGATTGACGCCAACATGGCGACCTCTGCATCCTCTGTGTTAACTCCCCTGACACAATACACCGGCGTCCGTGTGTTGACTCACCTGACGTACACAATACACAAACGTTCATGTGTTGACTCACCTGACGTACACAATACACCAGCGTCCATGTGTTGACTCACCTGACGTACACAATACACCGGCGTTCATGTGTTGACTCACCTGACGTACACAATACACCGGCGTCCGTGTGTTGACTCACCTGACGTACACAATACACCGGCGTCCATGTGTTGACTCACCTGACAATACACCGGGGACCATGTATTTGACTCACCTGACGTACACAATACACCGGCGACCGTGTGTTGACTCACCTGACACAATACACCGGCGTCCGTGTGTTGACTCACCTGACGCTGACAATACACCGGCACCATGTGTTGACTCACCTGACGTACACAATACCGGCATCCATGTGTTGACTCACCTTACAAAACACAATACACCGGCGTCAATGTGTTGACTAACCTGACAAACAACACCATACACCAGCGTCCGTGTGTTGACTCACCTGACGTACACAATACACCGGCGTCCATGTGTTGACTCACCTGACGTATACAATACACCGGCCTATACACCGGCGTCCATGTAATTGACTCACCTGACGTACACAATACACCGGCGTCCGTGTGTTGACTCACCTGACGTACACAATACACCAGCGTTCATGTGTAGACTCACCTGACGTACACACAATACACCAGCCTCCATGTGTTGACTCACCTGACACAATACACCGGAGTCCGTGTGTTGACTCACCTGACACAATACACCAGCGTCCATGTGTTGACTCACCTGACACACAATACACCGGCGTCCATGTGTTGACTCACCTGGCGTACACAATACACCGGTGTCATTGCGTTGACTCACCTGACGTACACAATACACCGGTGTCCATGTGTTAACTCACCTGACAAACACAATACATCAGTGTCCATGTGTTGACTCACCTGACGTACACAATACACCGGCGTCCATGTGTTGACTCACCTGACGTACACAATACACCGGCGTCCATGTGTTGACTCACCTGACGTACACAATACACCAGCCTCCATGTGTTGACTCAACTGACGTACACAATACATCGTCGTCCATGTATTGACTCAACTGACGTACACAATACATCAGTGTCCATGTGTTGACTCAACTGACGTACACAATACACCGGCGTCCGTGTGTTGACTCACCTGACGTACACAATACACCAGCGTTCATGTGTAGACTCACCTGACACAATACACCAGCCTCCATGTGTTGACTCACCTGACACAATACACCGGAGTCCGTGTGTTGACTCACCTGACACAATACACCAGCGTCCATGTGTTGACTCACCTGACACAATACACCGGCGTCCATGTGTTGACTCACCTGGCGTACACTATACACCGGTGTCATTGCGTTGACTCACCTGACGTACACAATACACCGGTGTCCATGTGTTAACTCACCTGACAAACACAATACATCAGTGTCCATGTGTTGACTCACCTGACGTACACAATACACCGGCGTCCATGTGTTGACTCACCTGACGTACACAATACACCGGCGTCCATGTGTTGACTCACCTGACGTACACAATACACCAGCCTCCATGTGTTGACTCAACTGACGTACACAATACATCGGCGTCCATGTATTGACTCAACTGACGTACACAATACATCAGTGTCCATATGTTGACCCAACTGACGTACACAATACATCGGCGTCCATGTGTTGACTCACCTGACGTACACAATACACCGGGGACCATGTGTTGACTCACCTAACACAATACACCAGCCTCCATGTGTTGACTCACCTGACACAATACACCGGCGTCCGTGTGTTGACTCACCTGACGTAAACAATACACTTGCAACCATGTGTTGACTCAACTGACGTACACAATACACCGGCGTCCATGTGTTGACTCACCTGACGTACACAATACATCGGCGTCCATGTATTGACTCAACTGACGTACACAATACACCGGCGTCCATGTGTTGACTCACCTGACGTACACAATACACCGGCGTCCGTGTGTTAACTCACCTGACACAATAAACCGGCGTCCATGTGTTGACTCACCTGACACAATACACCGGCGTCCATGTGTTGACTCACCTGGCGTACACAATACACCAGCCTCCATGTGTTGACTCAACTGACGTACACAATACACCGGCGTCATTGCGTTGACTCACCTGACGTACACAATACACCGGTGTCCATGTGTTAACTCACCTGACAAACACAATTCATCAGTGTCCATGTGTTGACTCACCTGACGTACACAATACACCGGCGTCTATGTGTTGACTCACCTGACGTACACAATACACCGGCGTCCGTGTGTTGACTCACCTGACGTACACAATACACCAGCCTCCATGTGTTGACTCAACTGACGTACACAATACATCGGCGTCCATGTATTGACTCACCTGACGTACACAATACACCAGCGTCCATGTGTTGACTCAACTGACGTACACAATACATCAGTGTCCATGTGTTGACTCACCTGACGTACACAATACACCAGCCTCCATGTGTTGACTCAACTGACGTACACAATACATCAGTGTCCATGTGTTGACTCACCTGACGTACACAATACACCAGCGTCCATGTGTTGACTCAACTGACGTACACAATACATCGGCGTCCATGTGTTGACTCACCTGACGTACACAATACACCGGGGACCATGTGTTGACTCACCTAACACAATACACCAGCGTCCATGTGTTGACTCAACTGACACAATACACCGGCGTCCGTGTGTTGACTCACCTGACGTAAACAATACACTTGCAACCATGTGTTGACTCACCTGACAAACACAATACACCGGCGTCCATGTGTTGACTCAACTGACGTACACAATACACCGGCGTCCATGTGTTGACTCACCTGACGTACACAATACACCGGCGTCCATGTGTTGACTCACCTGACGTACACAATACACCGGGGACCATGTGTTGACTCAACTGACGTACACAATACATCGGCGTCCATGTGTTGACTCACCTGACGTACACAATACACCGGGGACCATGTGTTGACACACCTAACACAATACACCAGCCTCCATGTGTTGACTCAACTGACGTACACAATACACCGGCGTCCGTGTGTTGACTCACCCGACGTAAACAATGCACTTGCAACCATGTGTTGACTCACCTGACAAAGACAATACACCGACGTCCATGTGTTGACTCACCTGACGTACACAATACACCAGCGTCCATGTGTTGATTCACCTGAATACACCGGCCTCCATGTGTTGACTCACCTGACAAAACACAACACACCGGCGTCCATGTGTTGACTCACCTGGCGTACACAATACACCAGCGTCCATGTGTTGACTCACCTGACGTACACAATACACCGGCGTCCATGTGTTGACTCACCTGACAAACACAATACACCGGCGTCCGTGTGTTGACTCACCTGACGTACACAATACACCGGCGTCCATGTGTTGACTCACCTGACGTACACAATACACCGGCGTCCATGTGTTGACTCACCTGACAAACAATACACCGGCGTCCGTGTGTTGACTCACCTGACGTAAACAATACACCGGCGTCCATGTGTTGACTCACCTGACGTACACAATACACCGGCGTCCGTGTATTGACTCACCTGACGTACACAATACACCGGCGTCCGTGTGTTGACTCACCTGACAAACACAATACACCGGCGACCATGTGTTGACTCACCTGACACAATACACCGGCGTCCGTGTGTTGACTCCCCTGACGTACACATTACACAGGCGTCGGTGTGTTGACTCACCTGACGTGCACAATACACCGGCGTCCTCTGCATGTGAGCAGTCAGTGATTCCCCAGTTACTCTTCTGACACTGAGTAATGCTTGTTTCATTCCCGACACAGCTCACGTCTTCCAACCAGATTCGCCCGCTTGAAAAGTATCCAAATCTTGCGTTCCCCACACCGCCAGCTCCCACACTGCATCAGACGGAGAAACCTACATAGTGACTAGACATCCACACTGCATCAGACGGAGATACCTACATAGTGACTAGACATCCACACTGCATCAGACGGAGATACCTACATAGTGACTAGACATCCACACTGCATCAGACGGAGATACCTACATAGTGACTAGACATCCACACTGCATCAGACGGAGATACCTACATAGTGACTAGACATCCACACTGCATCAGACGGAGATACCTACATAGTGACTAGACATCCACACTGCATCAGACGGAGATACCTACATAGTGACTAGACATCCACACTGCATCAGACGGAGATACCTACATAGTGACTAGACATCCACACTGCATCAGACGGAGATACCTACATAGTGACTAGACATCCACACTGCATCAGACGGAGATACCTACATAGTGACTAGACATCCACACTGCATCAGACGGAGATACCTACATAGTGACTAGACATCCACACTGCATCAGACGGAGATACCTACATAGTGACTAGACATCCACACTGCATCAGACGGAGATACCTACATAGTGACTAGACATCCACACTGCATCAGACGGAGATACCTACATAGTGACTAGACATCCACACTGCATCAGACGGAGATACCTACATAGTGACTAGACATCCACACTGCATCAGACGGAGATACCTACATAGTGACTAGACATCCACACTGCATCAGACGGAGATACCTACATAGTGACTAGACATCCACACTGCATCAGACGGAGATACCTACATAGTGACTAGACATCCACACTGCATCAGACGGAGATACCTACATAGTGACTAGACATCCACACTGCATCAGACGGAGATACCTACATAGTGACTAGACATCCACACTGCATCAGACGGAGATACCTACATAGTGACTAGACATCCACACTGCATCAGACGGAGATACCTACATAGTGACTAGACATCCACACTGCATCAGACGGAGATACCTACATAGTGACTAGACATCCACACTGCATCAGACGGAGATACCTACATAGTGACTAGACATCCACACTGCATCAGACGGAGATACCTACATAGTGACTAGACATCCACACTGCATCAGACGGAGATACCTACATAGTGACTAGACATCCACACTGCATCAGACGGAGATACCTACATAGTGACTAGACATCCACACTGCATCAGACGGAGATACCTACATAGTGACTAGACATCCACACTGCATCAGACGGAGATACCTACATAGTGACTAGACATCCACACTGCATCAGACGGAGATACCTACATAGTGACTAGACATCCACACTGCATCAGACGGAGATACCTACATAGTGACTAGACATCCACACTGCATCAGACGGAGATACCTACATAGTGACTAGACATCCACACTGCATCAGACGGAGATACCTACATAGTGACTAGACATCCACACTGCATCAGACGGAGATACCTACATAGTGACTAGACATCCACACTGCATCAGACGGAGATACCTACATAGTGACTAGACATCCACACTGCATCAGACGGAGATACCTACATAGTGACTAGACATCCACACTGCATCAGACGGAGATACCTACATAGTGACTAGACATCCACACTGCATCAGACGGAGATACCTACATAGTGACTAGACATCCACACTGCATCAGACGGAGATACCTACATAGTGACTAGACATCCACACTGCATCAGACGGAGATACCTACATAGTGACTAGACATCCACACTGCATCAGACGGAGATACCTACATACAGTGACTAGACATCCACACTGCATGCATCAGACGAGATATACCTACATAGTGACTAGACATCCACACTGCATCAGACGGAGATACCTACATAGTGACTAGACATCCACACTGCATCAGACGGAGATACCTACATAGTGACTAGACATCCACACTGCATCAGACGGAGATACCTACATAGTGACTAGACATCCACACTGCATCAGACGGAGATACCTACATAGTGACTAGACATCCACACTGCATCAGACGGAGATACCTACATAGTGACTAGACATCCACACTGCATCAGACGGAGATACCTACATAGTGACTAGACATCCACACTGCATCAGACGGAGATACCTAGTGACTAGACATCCACACTGCATCAGACGGAGATACCTACATAGTGACTAGACATCCACACTGCATCAGACGGAGATACCTACATAGTGACTAGACATCCACACTGCATCAGACGGAGATACCTACATAGTGACTAGACATCCACACTGCATCAGACGGAGATACCTACATAGTGACTAGACATCCACACTGCATCAGACGGAGATACCTACATAGTGACTAGACATCCACACTGCATCAGACGGAGATACCTACATAGAGTGACTAGACATCCACACTGCATCAGACGGAGATACCTACATAGTGACTAGACATCCACACTGCATCAGACGGAGATACCTACATAGTGACTAGACATCCACACTGCATCAGACGGAGATACCTACATAGTGACTAGACATCCACACTGCATCAGACGGAGATACCTACATAGTGACTAGACATCCACACTGCATCAGACGGAGATACCTACATAGTGACTAGACATCCACACTGCATCAGACGGAGATACCTACATAGTGACTAGACATCCACACTGCATCAGACGGAGATACCTACATAGTGACTAGACATCCACACTGCATCAGACGGAGATACCTACATAGTGACTAGACATCCACACTGCATCAGACGGAGATACCTACATAGTGACTAGACATCCACACTGCATCAGACGGAGATACCTACATAGTGATCAGAGACATCCCACACTGCATCAGACGGAGATACCTACATAGTGACTAGACATCCACACTGCATCAGACGGAGATACCTACATAGTGACTAGACATCCACACTGCATCAGACGGAGATACCTACATAGTGACTAGACATCCACACATCAGACGGAGCATCAGACGGAGAGATACCTACATAGTGACAGAGACATACCTACATAGTGACTGACATCCACACTGCATCAGACGGAGATACCTACATAGTGACTAGACATCCACACTGCATCAGACGGAGATACCTACATAGTGACTAGACATCCACACTGCATCAGACGGAGATACCTACATAGTGACTAGACATCCACACTGCATCAGACGGAGATACCTACATAGTGACTAGACATCCACACTGCATCAGACGGAGATACCTACATAGTGACTAGACATCCACACTGCATCAGACGGAGATACCTACATAGTGACTAGACATCCCACTGCATCAGACGGAGATACCTACATAGTGACCAGACATCCACACTGCATCAGACGGAGATACCTACATAGTGACTAGACATCCACACTGCATCAGACGGAGATACCTATATAGTGACTAGACATCCACACTGCATCAGACGGAGATACCTATATAGTGACTAGACATCCACACTGCGTCAAACAAATATATACACCGAAACACACGGATTTTTTCTCTATACAACATCGGGTGTAGCGGTGTTTTCAATAGATGTACCCGTGAAGGTCAGGGTTAGAATGAGCCTTCAGTAACCCATGCTTGTCGTAAGAGGCGACTAACGGGATCGGGTGGTCAGGCTCGCTGACTTGGTTGACACATGTCATCGGTTCCCAATTGCGCAGATCGATGTTCATGCTGTTGATCACTGGATTGTCTGGTCCAGACTCGATTATTTACAGACCGCCGCCATATAATTGGAAGATTGCTGAGTGCGGCGTAAAACTAAACTCACTCACTCAATTCAGTAGATGTACAGTGTTCTTTGACCATACCTGACTTAATACATTGACATAATACTGACATCACCAATAAACGATAAAGAGTTAAAACTCACGCTGAATATCCCAGCATTTTGCAGATGACGCCAGCATCGTTGCCAGTCCAATTGTCGTCACAGATGGTGCCCCAGGCGTTGTTGAAGTACAGCAGCACGGTGCCCTCGTAGGCGTTTGGTCCTCCCAACAGCTGCACGTACACCGGGCTCGTTGCCGGGATCGTGGGCACTTGGTACAGGAAATACGGTAATGACTGAGGATGCTTGTTTGGAAGCAAACATATAACTATTCATAAACAATGTCCCTACGACCTTTAGTCTGTCTGCAAATAGTCTTACCTCCACACAAACCCGTAGCGCACAGGTTCCCAGAACAGCACCTGGAACACAAGGTAACTGCCCGCTTGGCTCTCGTTCCCGGGACTGTCCTCACGTTCCGCCTGCGTCCAATAGCTGGACCTTGGCCGGCAACGAGCGCTGCACAAACCTACAAAGTACATACACCATGCGCTTGCAATATACACTGAAAATGAACGAGAACGGGACAGAGACAGTAATAGAGAGCGAGGAGTTAGTGAATTTACCTTTACGCCACTTTTAGCAATACTCCAGCAATATGGTGCCGGGGTACACCAGAAATGGGATTCACTCATTGTACCCATGTGGTGAAACGAACCCGGGTCTTCGCTTTCACCATAAGGCTACTCCACCGCAAGGGCGAGAAAGAGTGAGTGAGTGAGTATAGTTTCACGCCACTATTTAGCAATATTCCAGCAATATCACGGCCGGGGGACACCAGAAATGGGTTTCACACATTGTACCCATGTGGGGAATCGAACCCGCGTGACCACCAGGCTACCACAGCCCGTGACCAGATAGACTCACCTTAGTCTTCTGGCAGCCAAAAGTATAACTTGTGCTCAAGTCATCCTCCAGCTTTTTCTCCATGTAGCACTCCTACAGCAGAAGACAAAGATGCAACGATGTAACATTTATATAACAGGCAAAACACACAGGCATGTAACAATCCTACATCAATCAAAACAAAAATGTCATTCTCCCCCTTATTCTAAAACCGTACCATATTACAACCTATACAAAAATCCTCTGTATCCTCTTTGACGTACATCCAAGCCCAGCATACACGTTCCCATCTCACGAGTATAGATGATTTTCAACTACAAATGGAATATTCTATGTTTACCTTACAAGTTCCTTCTCTCTCTCTCTCACACACACACACACGCACGCACGCATGCACGCACGCACGCACGCACGCACGCGTGCGAGCACACACACACACAACAACAACACACACAGACCAAACGCCCTCCTCCTTACAAACATTACCTCATCAGCATCACAGTTGACCTCGTCAGTGCAGGCCTCGGGACTGGCTGCACTGCTGCACTTGTGGCACACGGGTCCACCGTCACCTGGGGCACAAGTAACACTTGGAGAAAACACCCATCATATCATAACTCCATCCCATAGAATTAACCAGCATCGTACCCAACACCCTTAGCCTCACATTTACACCACCCTTATCCATAACCATAACATTGACATTGACACTCGCCTTTTCACGTGTACCAAGTCTACCTATTTCGTACCCTTTACATGTGTACAATGGCAGACTACCTATTTCGTACCCTTTTCATGTGTACATAGGCAGTCAATCTATTCCTGATCCATTCATTGTGTACAACGTACGAGAGTATCTCACAGTTTACATCTGTACAGAAGGTCGTCGATAGTGTCCTACAGTGCACATGTTTACTGAAAGTCGTCGAGTGTATCTTACAGTTTACTGAAAGTCGTCGAGAGTATCTTACAGTGTACTGAAAGTCGTCGAGAGTATCTTACAGTCTACTGAAAGTCGTCGAGTGTATCTTACAGTTTACTGAAAGTCGTCGAGTGTATCTTACAGTGTACTGAAAGTCGTCGAGAGTATCTTACAGTGTACTGAAAGTCGTCGAGAGTATCTTACAGTGTACATGTTAACTGAAAGTCGTCGAGAGTATCTTACAGTGTACACCTTTACTGAAAGTCGTCGAGAGTATCTTACAGTGTACACCTTTACTGAAAGTCGTCGAGTGTATCTTACAGTGTACTGAAAGTCGTCGAGAGTATCTTACAGTGTACTGAAAGTCGTCGAGAGTATCTTACAGTGTACATGTTTACTGAAAGTCGTCGAGAGTATCTTACAGTGTACACATTTACTGGAAGACGTCGAGAGTATCTTACAATGTACACATTTACTGAAAGTCGTCGAGAGTATCTTACAGTGTACACCTTTACTGAAAGTCGTCGAGAGTATCTTACAGTGTACATGTTTACTGAAAGTCGTGGAGAGTATCTTACAGTGTACACCTTAACTGAAAGTCGTGGAGAGTATCTTACAGTGTACATGTTTACTGAAAGGCGTCGAGTGTATCTTACAGTGTACACCTTTAATGAAAGTCATCGAGAGTATCTTACAGTGTACATGTTTACTGAAAGTCGTCAAGAGTATCTTACAGTGTAAACATTTACTGAAAGTCGTCGAGAGTATCTTACAGTGTACACCTTACTGGAAGACGTCGAGAGTATCTTACAATGTACACATTTACTGAAAGTCGTCGAGAGTATCTTACAGTGTACACCTTTACTGAAAGTCGTGGAGAGTATCTTACAGTGTACATGTTTACTGAAAGTCGTGGAGAGTATCTTACAGTGTAAACATTTACTGAAAGTCGTCGAGAGTATCTTACAGTGTACATGTTTACTGAAAGTCGTGGAGAGTATCTTACAGCGTACACCTTTACTGAAAGTCGTCGAGAGTATCTTACAGTGTACACCTTTACTGAAAGTCGTGGAGAGTATCTTACAGTGTACACCTTTACTGAAAGTCGTGGAGAGTATCTTACAGTGTACATGTTTACTGAAAGTCGTGGAGAGTATCTTACAGTGTACACCTTTACTGAAAGTCGTGGAGAGTATCTTACAGTGTACACCTTTACTGAAAGTCGTCGAGAGTATCTTACAGTGTACACCTTTACTGAAAGTCGTCGAGAGTATCTTACAGTGTACACCTTTACTGAAAGTCGTGGAGAGTATCTTACAGTGTACATGTTTACTGAAAGTCGTCGAGTGTATCTTACAGTGTACACCTTTACTGAAAGTCGTCGAGAGTATCTTACAGTGTACATGTTTACTGAAAGTCGTCGAGAGTATCTTACAGTGTAAACATTTACTGAAAGTCGTCGAGAGTATCTTACAGTGTACACCTTACTGAAAGACGTCGAGAGTATCTTACAGTGTACACATTTACTGAAAGTCGTGGAGAGTATCTTACAGTGTACACCTTTACTGAAAGTCGTGGAGAGTATCTTACAGTGTACATGTTTACTGAAAGTCGTGGAGAGTATCTTACAGTGTAAACATTTACTGAAAGTCGTGGAGAGTATCTTACAGTGTACACCTTTACTGAAAGTCGTGGAGAGTATCTTACAGCGTACACCTTTACTGAAAGTCGTGGAGAGTATCTTACAGTGTACACCTTTACTGAAAGTCGTCGAGAGTATCTTACAGTGTACACCTTTACTGAAAGTCGTGGAGAGTATCTTACAGTGTACATGTTTACTGAAAGTCGTGGAGAGTATCTTACAGTGTACACCTTTACTGAAAGTCGTGGAGAGTATCTTACAGTGTACACCTTTACTGAAAGTCGTCGAGAGTATCTTACAGTGTACACCTTTACTGAAAGTCGTCGAGAGTATCTTACAGTGTACACCTTTACTGAAAGTCGTCGAGTATCTTACAGTGTACATGTTTACTGAAAGTCGTGGAGAGTATCTTACAGTGTACACCTTTACTGAAAGTCGTGGAGAGTATCTTACAGTGTACATTTACTGAAAGTCGTCGAGAGTATCTTACAGTGTACATGTTTACTGAAAGTCGTGGAGAGTATCTTACAGTGTAAACATTTACTGAAAGTCGTCGAGAGTATCTTACAGTGTACACATTTACTAAAAGTCGTGGAGAGTATCTTACAGTGTACACGTTTACTGAAAGTCATCGAGAGTATCTTACAGTGTACATGTTTACTGAACAGTGTACATGTTTACTGAAAGTCGTCGAGAGTATCTTACAGTGTACACCTTTACTGAAAGTCGTCGAGAGTATCTTACAGTGTACACGTTTCCTGAAAGTCGTCGAGAGTATCTTACAGTGTACATGTTTACTGAAAGTCGTCGAGAGTATCTTACCGTTTACCACCACGGCTACAATGGCAGCAGCAACTGAAAGAGATTAAGAAGATATGCATTTGTGGTTGTACAAGACTGTTTTGAATGTACAAGCAGTTAAATATCGTTAATCTTGACCGCCGTGTGTTTCCTGACTAACGTTTCCTGGTTGTTCACAAGTAGGAGGGCCCGACAATAGCTATGAGCACCAACACACGACTGGTAATTCGGCTTCCAGAGCAACAAGGCTTTAGTCTAAGCGTGGGGCCAGACATTATGCTTACTGGCAATGTAGATCATGGCTGTCGATCCTATACTGCACCCGTCTCTGTCTCTGGTAGATTTATACCACCTGAAAAATGGCACATTGAGAATTATCTTTAATTTTTAAGTGATATATTAAGAATACGAGAGACAACGCAAAAACCGGATTATCAAGTGGTTATACTGGGAACTCAACATGTAGAGTTGCTTTGGTCAAGATTACACTCAGCGAACGTGTCACATAAACTGATAGAGACAAACAGGTGTTGGTGACTAAGATTTGCAACAGGCCATCACATGATTGTCCAATCCAGACACTGGATGTCTACAATGTTCTGCGAAAGCCTCGCACTAATACAAACAAATCCAGAACTAATTTAGTACCTTGATCGTGTTTAATAAAAGCCAGACTCTAATGAAGAACATGTTTCTGACATTAGGCAGTGTTATACATTGTGCAGCCATGTTGCAGCTGTTAAACGTTTAAACGTTGGTACAACTCGCATTACATCTCAGGTTACCAGAAGACCAGCATTTCAGAATTATAATTTTCTAAACGGCGCGACACAATATCTACAGGAGAAACAGTGCCGACATGGGTACAGTGTCATTTCTTTCGGGATACTTTCTAAACAAATTGACATGACAAAGCTGTGTCACTCACTGTCGTATCAATAACATATGGGCGATGGTACTTAGCACGTAATGGCGATTGACAAAACATGTACATGTCTCTCTCTTGCAAACTTTTATCATAATAATTGTTCATTTTTTCCTGGGATTCTTATACTTTTTCCCTACCAACCTCACAAGTGTTATCCAGAAATATTGAACAAACTTATTTCATCATTAAGCCAATGCTCCCGCAAGTGCTTTAAAGGTCCTCAAACAGTATGTCCAAAGACAGAGGGACGGAACCTTCTCAGTTGACAAAGTCCTCGTCATGTTCTTGACGCCTGATGAAGCCTCTAGACTCCTTCAGATTCAGGTCAACTAATGCGTAGCCTGTTGAAACACACAGAGAAAATTGGAACCCCCTGACTGAATAGTCCTAGGTAAACCTGAACACAGTGAAGAACGTCCCCAAATCTTTTATAATGACCAGGGCCTCCTTTCACAAAGCACTAAGGTGATAGTAAGTCACTAAGGTAACCTTAGTGCAATGTTAAAGAATAGGAGTTGAGGTTAATCTTAGTTAAGGGTGCTTCGTGAAAGGAGCCCCTGAGCTTTTCCTTTTCCGAAAATATATATTTTCTTCTGAAAACCTAGTGGAAGCACACTTGAGGGAAACCATGTGTTACCTGCCCGACCTTATGTTAACCAAAGGGCAAACACTATCAGTGATGACCCTCCTGAAAACCTCTTCCAGCCCTGGAATGGGTTTCAAAGGCGTGACTGGTATTTCTGATTTGAAACCATCGGACACACATGATAGCAGTTGTCAACTTCAGCCATATCATGGTGCAAAGTGACCCAATGGAGATGGAACAAACTGAGCTGCCACAAAGTTTCATGTTTTTAATACATGTTTTGGACAGGAAATTAGAAGAAAAATATGATATAATCCCTCCATTCATTATCAGCAGGTAAATCCTGTGACCTCCATTTCCAAAACTAAACTCACTCACAAGCGCGTAGCAGGCCATTTTTTCGTGTAAGCCCGATAGGTTGCAAAGCTTTGTATTTAGATAGTATTGAGGGCTTGCCCAACCATTTTAGCAGCAATCATGTGTAAGCCCGGGCTTTTTTTCATAATGGTAGCTACGCCCCTGACTCACTCACTCATGCCTCATGTTGTTGCTAAATGACTTGTCGTGGATGCACACGTTTCAGTCCGGGGACAAACACACACCAGGTATTCGTTGGTTTCACATTACTTTTCAACTCGCTGTGCGCATGCGTAGAGCGTGTGAAAAATATCCACTGACATGCTTCCGGTTTTGTCGTATGTTTATCGATAGTATAAACGCTCCAAAGAAAACAAATATCAAAACAAATATGTAGTTTTATGTCGAATACAACTGATCCCAATTGATTTATGAAACAGAGGCCGGGATTAGTTAGATAAATAGCTTAAGTTATGTTAATAAGCTCTTGTATAAAGACATCTCACCACCACAGTCCTTCCTGCACAACCCTTCTCACAACTAAACAAACACATCACTGATGGAATTGCAACCAAAATAGGACATCAGTTATTGAAAAGCAGAGGCAAATGGAAGTATGTACTCAGCTATGAACAGTTGTCACAACGTAAATAAATTTCATAACAGCTTTTATTTAGAGTGCATTTACACTATCGATAAACATACGACCAAACCGGAAGCATGTCAGTGGATATTTTTCACACGCTCTGCGCATGCGCACAGCGAGTTGAAAACGTAATGTGAAACCAACGAATGTACAGTCGGTGACCTGTAGCTGCTGACTGGAACTCTCCAGGTTGAAGACATTTAGTCTTGGCAGTACCCCACTACCAGTACGTCGACTGTGTATGACCGTTCATGGTGACTCACACTTGTCACAATTTTCTCATACATCCTGCTTTTGGTTTTCGTTCCATAACATTTTCGATCAGTTTTATGAAATTGCTGTATAAAGCTGCAAAAGTTTTAAAATGTCATGTTGATGCACTGTATGAGGTAACGAATATATGTTTACAATCAAAAGTATTACATTCGTATTAGTGTTTTGGTGAATGAACAAAATTATTATATCATTTTCACGTGTAAGTTTTACGTTTTGAGTGTGAAACGTCTGTGGGTTTTAAAGCCATACACTGACATCTAACACATTGTTCATGTAGAACAAGCCATTCACTGACATCTAACACATTGTTCATGTAGAACAAAGCCATTCACTCACATCTAACACACTCCTCGATAGATGATAGATATACACTGGTCTCACACGTCCATCGGCGTACGTCAAAGGGAGATACTGATCTGCCACGTGGTTAGATGTACAATCTTAGATGCCAGTCTTTATGTCAGTTCCGGAGTTTTTCCTGATATTGTCCCATAACGACAACATTCTATCTTGTGTTGACAGGCACGAGATTTATTGTATGACATTCTCTTATGTCTCTAATGCGTTTTATATGTCTTAGAACAAAATCTTATTATACACAAACTTTCAAAATATGTCATAAATGATGCACTTTTATCGAGGTTAAAAGATTACACGTCATATTTCAATTAAAGGTGTTTGTAAATGGTGGCCTGTCATTGAAATACACCCCTGCTGGGGTACATCAGGTTTTGTTCAGTGTCAACATATATTATACTCATGGAAAGGATTCTCATAAGTGAGAACTTGGAACGGCCCCTCTCCCATAGATTTACACGAATACCTATTACAATTAATACATCTTCTGACAAAAGGAAAGAAAAGAAATAGAGAAACGTACGTACATTAACACCGCTAAACGTTTTGTTTTCTTTATGTATGTTTGTACATATCTAAAATCCTTTCGTTCACATGGTTATGTAAATATGCATTGTCAGCTAGCAACAGATCAATGTTAACATCACAAGTATCTTTCACAATTCATGGTACAGAGTGAATCAATTCGTTTTTAGCTGATTTACAAAATGCACATTTAATGGAAAAAATACATGCATTTGGGAACTGTTAATTGCCAGCGCTCGTTTATACCAGACACACTCAAACTATGGAAAACCTTTTCAGTTGATTGGCAACTTTCTGCTTCAGTTTCCTGTTGAAAAATGGAACTAGGTAACTTAATTAATGTCCTAATTACCATACAATTACAAGAACGCTCCATAGCCATCTGTTCTCAGTTGGACTCTCGATCCAAACAAGTCTCTCTGGTGGTACACCATGCGAAACGTATAACGTGTGCAAATAGATGGCGTGTCAACAGAGATTCGTTGAACATTTTCGTTGCCTACAAACATACTCATATACAACTTTTCCAACCACTCAAAACATGTTCACAGCAGATGTGTAGGTATAGTCTGTTTGCAGTGAAAACGTACCGATGAATTTCGCTTTAAACAAAAAAGTAAATGAAATGAAGTGAAATTAAGATTGCGAATCCTCGTAATTTTACCTTGCCAATTGAACATTTAAATCTCAGAATTTTATTCATATTAGGATAAAAGTTGTTTAACAAACGATCATAGATTCAAATCTAAGGGGGTAAGCGTATTAGTTGGAACAGTTAAACAAATGCACGTGCGGTACGTGATGAGCGTTAACTTAGACCAACCATACTTGTTCTAGGTGTTTCATCTAATGTGCATACCCCCTTGTAATACAAACCAATAATAGCGGTTTGAAATCACTTTTATCCTAAGTTGAATAAAATTCTGAGATTTAAATGTTCAATTGGCAAGGTACAATTATGAGGATTCGCAATCTGATTTTCACTTTATTCGATTTACTTTTTTGTTTAAAGTGAAATTCATCGGTACGTTTTCACTGCAAACAGACTATAAATTGATTTATGAACAATTCATTAGTCCCACTGGGTGACTTGTGACTTGCTAACTTGCTTGTGTACATTGAAACCTGATGTTAGGCCCCATGGTGTGACCCGGAAGACATGTAGCACAGGTTGTCGTTTATTCACGATTGCATAAAATACTGCATGATTTCATAATCTCCAAATGGAGAGATGTGAATTTTGTAACACTAGACAACTGTCACGGAACTCTCTAGACATCCAGATAAGGACCGCTCCATGTACAGCTGTGCACTGCCCATGACATGCAGGCATATACATCCGGGTACATTCATGGGTCGTGCTACAATGGCGTGTCATTGTTTGATTGTTTGTTGTATTCTGTATTGCAACTGTACGACAGCGGTTCGCAAATAATCGAGTCTGGACCTGCCAACCCAGAGACAGACACCAGGAGCATCTATCTTAGAAGTTGGAATTCGATGACCCAGACAGGAAGCCTGGCCAAGTTATGTCGCCAGACTTGTACAGCAGGCGTTGTCGCCTTTAATGAACAGCACGGGTCATTGGGACTGTGAGATGATCATATAGAACAGACACATAAAATACACATGTGTGGGGAACGCAAAACCAACACATATATGTGGTGAATTCACAACCAACACATACATTGTGAACTCACAACCAACACACGTTGTGAACTCACAAACCATCACACGTTGTCATCTCACAACCAACACATACGTGGTGAACTCACAACCAACACACGTGGTGAACTCACAACCAACACACGTGGTGAACTCACAACCAACACACGTGGTGAACTCACAACCAACACACACGTGGTGAACTCACAACCAACACATACGTGGTGAACTCACAACCAACATATACGTGGTGAACTCACAAACAACATACGTGGTGAACTCACAACCAACACATACGTGGTGAACTCACAACCAACACATACGTGGTGAACTCACAACCAACACATACGTGGTGAACTCACAACCAACACATACGTGGTGAACTCACAACCAACATATACGTGGTGAACTCACAACCAACAGCATACGTGGTGAACTCACAACCAACACATACGTGGTGAACTCACAACCAACACACGTGGTGAACTCACAACCAACACACGTGGTGAACTCACAACCAACACATACGTGGTGAACTCACAACCAACACACGTGGTGAACTCACAACCAACATACGTGGTGAACTCACAACCAACACATACGTGGTGAACTCACAACCAACACACGTGGTGAACTCACAACCAACACATACGTTGTGAACTCCCAACCAACGTATACGTGGTGAACTCACAACCAACACATACGTTGTGAACTCACAACCAACAAACGTGGTGAACTCACAACCAACACACGTGGTGAACTCACAACCAACACACACGTTGTGAACTCACAACCAACATATACGTGGTGAACTCACAACCAACAAATACGTGGTGAACTCACAACCAACATACGTGGTGAACTCACAACCAGCACATACATGGTGAACTCACAACTAACACATACGTTGTGAACTCACAACCAACATACGTGGTGAACTCACAACCAACACATACGTGGTGAACTCACAACCAACATATACGTGGTGAACTCACAACCAACATATACGTGGTGAACTCACAACCAACACATACGTGGTGAACTCACAACCAACACACACGTGGTGAACTCACAACCAACACATACGTGGTGAACTCCCAACCAACATAATACGTGGTGAACTCACAACCAACACATACGTGGTGAACTCACAACCAACACATACGTGGTGAACTCACAACCAACATACGTGGTGAACTCACAACCAACACACGTGGTGAACTCACAACCAACATACGTGGTGAACTCACAACCAACATACGTGGTGAACTCACAACCAACACATACGTGGTGAACTCACAACCAACATATACGTGGTGAACTCACAACCAACATATACGTGGTGAACTCACAACCAACACATACGTGGTGAACTCACAACCAAACATACGTGGTGAACTCACAACCAACATATACGTGGTGAACTCACAACCAACACATACGTGGTGAACTCACAACCAACATTAACACGTGGTGAACTTACAACCAACATAACACGTGGTGAACTCCCAACCAACACATACGTTGTGAACTCACAACCAACACACGTGGTGAACTCACAACCAACACACGTGGTGAACTCACAACCAACATAAAACGTGGTGAACTCACAACCAGCACACGAGGTGAACTCACAACCAACACACGTGGTGAACTCACACCAACACATACGTTGTGAACTCCCAACCAACGTATACGTGGTGAACTCACAACCAACACATACGTTGTGAAC